TTGTCCTCATGTGAAGCTGAGTACATTGCAACATCATTATGTGATTGTCAAGCTATATGGTTTTTGAACTTGATGAAGTTGAAGGCGAATTCTATGGAGCCATGACCATGAAGATTGACAACATGTCTATTATAAATTTGGCCAAAAATATTGTTGCACATGACAGGAGAAAACATATAGAGAAGAGATTCCACTATCTTAGGGAGCAAGTTAGCAATAAAAGGCTATGTCTAGAGAATTGTAGAAGTAAATATCAAGTTACATACATTTTGACCAAGATTGTGCAAGTGTAAGTGTTTAAGAAACTTAGAAGTTTAATGGTTGTAGAGAGTTTGGATACAATGAATTAAGTGGTGATTTTATTGTAATTCATTGTGGGTGTCTTACTTAAAATACAACCAAGAGTTGGTTAGAAAAAAAATTATGTTTTAACTAAGTTACATATGACAGTTAGTATGTGCGGTTAGTAATGGATTTATTAGTTACTTGTAGTACAGGTAACAGGTACATATACTCTTGCAATGTGATCGTTCAAGCTAGTGCAATTTAATTCAGTTCAAAGTGCAAAGTGTGTGTGAGGGAGAATAAAGCTTAATCAAATTGTGTGGGTCGATTATGAGTGTGATTGTATGTTCAACCTTGAGTTTTTTTCCAACAATTATTTCACATCATGACCACCGCAACACAATATATGTATCATTCCATTGTGAAATTCTTAAAATGATTGTGACCTCAATGCTGTTATTTTCTAAAACTTTTATATAAGTCCTATAGAAATAACTCTCTTGAATGATGTAGTTCTTAGGACCAAGATTCTCAATACATTGAGTATGGGGGCTTTCAAGGCTCCGAGTTTGATCTCCTATCCGTGTCAATGGATTGTCTTTGAACCCCTTAAAATTTTGTATTGCACTTCCTTTATAATTTCAGTGACACGCACTTCCCTCCTAAATAATTGCATTGTACCATTTTCTTTTAATTGAGTGATATGCAGTTCTCTTCTGTCATAGATTAATGTCGCGCAGGATAAAGAATATACAAACATTAAAATATTATTATTAAATTCTCAATATTTTCAAAAAAGAATGGAATAGGAATCTAAGCTTGGTATTGTGACTAAAATTGCACTTTACTTCAAAAACAAATTGAATTTTCCTTTATAATTTTAGATAATAGGTTTAGTGGTTGGAATTCACTTTTTTTTTAGTGAATAAGTGGAATGTGTGAGTTCAAACCGCTCTTGCATCTGATGTGCCTACAAAACTACCAAATGAGTTGAATTAACGAAATTTTTTTTTTACCTTTTTCAAGACGAATAAGTGGAATGTTGTGGATTCAAACCCGCACCCCATATGCATATGATGTCCTTGTATAACTATCAACTGATTTGACTTAAAACAAAATATATAATTAAATATGTTAGTGGTGTCTATAAATATATCATATTTCATATTTCAAATATATCAAATTTAATTTTTACCTTTTCCATCTCTACTAATACTGTGATTAATTAATTTTTGTTGACGTAAAATGATGTGGCATGATATTGTGACAAAGATATTGATACAGTGCATTGAATGTTGATTATCGTATGGCTTATATGATATTGATGTTTTTCTATAATATATTAATTTCTCATTTAATCATGTATATGTTAACTTTGTTGTAATCTAAAGCCCGGATAAAAGGAGATGGTTGTGTTAGGCAATCGACAGCCAACGTAAAATTTTGTCGAATCTCTATGACATGGATCAACTTCGAAATAACATGAATGATAGGTTTTTTTGCTGAAGCAACATGTTGTATGGCTCGAGTATAGTGTCAAAATAGTAATGGATGTTACATCGCCGCCTACTGAAAAATAAGTAAGGATTCCTAAATTTTCGTGAACGAGTGTTGGTAAAGAAGTTAGTTCATAAAAGTAAGATTTATTTTGGATTATGGAATATAGGAACGTTTACTGAAAAATATATGAAAATAATAGATATTATGGTTATGAGGAAGGTCAATTTTATGTGTCTACAAGAAACTAAGTGGGCTAGTGAAAAGTGAAAGAATTAGACAACTCAAAATTTAAGCTTTGTTACACCATAAAAGTTAAATTGAGAAATGGAGTGGGGGATCATTGTGGACAATAAGTGGAAGAATGATATTTTGGTTGTGAAAAGAGTGTGAGATCGAATCATAACCTTGAATTTTGTAGTGGAACAAGACATTTTTAATATTAGTGTTTATGCACCTCGGGTTGGGTTTGAAGAACACCTTAAGATAAAATTTTGGGAGGATATACTCTAAGGATATAAGCTTTTATAGGAGAAGATCTAAATGGTCATGTAGGGAGTGTAGCAAGAGGTTTTGAGAGCGTGCACAAGGGAGTCTAAGGGTGGTAAGCTCAGAGGGTAAATTCATCTTTGAGTTTTAGTTAACTTTTGATTTACTAAATAAAAGACATGATTTAAGAAAAAAGATGAGCATCTTATCTTATATAAAAGTGGGACGACATGTTCTCAAATGAATTTCTTTCTTATTAGAAAGTTAGATAAGAATATTTGCTTGGACAATAAAGTTATTTCAGGAGAGAGTTTGACAGCTCAACATAGAGTATTGGTTATGGATGTGAGAATAAATGGAAGATCACACTGGAGCTCCACGGATCAAGTGGTGGCATATGAAGAAACAAAAAAGTTTCCAACACAAGATCTTGGAGGGAGGGTTTGAAGAACCACAAGCAAGTGAAAATGATATGTGGAATAAGGTGGTGCAAGAGATTAGAAAAGTGGCTAAAGAGACATTGGGAGAATCAAGAGGTTTTGGACATAGCGATAAAATGATTATGATGGTGGAACGAAAGTGTTCAAAGTAAAGCTGGAGTAAAAAAAAGTTGTTTTAAAAAATGGTTTAGCTGTAAAAATGTCGAAACTTGAGAAAAGTATAAGAAAGATAAGAATGAGACCAAGAAAGCTGTGAGTGGAGTATAAACCCCAGCTTTTGACCGATTATACCAATCTTTTAAGAAACAATAAAGGAAAAAATTTATATATAGGTTTGCTAAGGAAAGAGAAAGAAAGATAAGATATTTGTAACAAGTGAAATATGTTAAAGATTAAAAAAGCAAAAAAATTGTTCAGGAAAAACATATCAAGGATAGGTGGAAGATGTATTTCTATAATTTATTTAATGAATGATATGATATCTCAATGGACTCTAGCATACTCGACATTATAGAAGAGGGCCAAAATTATAATTGCTATTGTCGAATTCATAAACAATATGTAAATGAAACATTGAAAAGGATGAGTAACTGTAAGGCGGCTGTATCAGACAATATACCGATTGAAGTATGAAAAATTCTTCGAGAGAGGTATTGAGTGGCTCACCAAACTTTTTAGAGAACTTATGAGATCAAAGAAAATGTTGGATGAATGAAAAAGAATCAGTTTAGTTCTGATTTATAAAAATAGGGGAGATATACAAAATTGTGTAAATTATAGAGGGATTAAACTTATGAACCATACCATAAAGTTAAGGGAAAGAGTGATTAAACAGAGACTAAGAAAAGAGACTCAAGCCACTGAGAGTCAATTTTTTTATACTTGAAAGGTCAGCCATGGAAGTGATCTATCTATTATAATATGTGATGGAGCAGTATGGGATGGACTCACAAGACTTGCACTTAATTTTCATTAACTTGAAGAGGCGTGTGATAAAGTTCCTATAGAGATTTTATGGAAAAAAAAACCTAGGAAAGAAAGGAGTTAGGTTTCATATATTCGAAATATCCAAGATATGTATGAAGAAATATCGACTAATGTACGGTCACAGAGTACAGAGACAGACAATTTCCTCATTATAGTAAGTGCATCAAGGTTAAATTTTAAGCCCTTACCTTTTTACTTAAATTTAGAATGTTCACATAACACATCCATGAGCTAACACCGAAATGCATGCTTTTTGCATATAATTAAGTCCTACTTGAAGAGTCGAAGGAAAATTTAAATAAAATGTTAGAGACTTAGAGATGAACTTTTAAAATGCATGATTTTTGTTTAAGCTTAAATAAGACAGGGTATATGGAATGTACATCGACAACAAAAGTGCTTATAAGCTAAAGATAAAAATTGAAAACCATATCTTCCTTCAAACCACAAAGTCTAAAATATAAAATAATAGAAAATATAAAATAATAGAAAAATAGATGGGAATGTAAACTATCAATTCAAATAAAATCTTATGTCTTTGGCGGTTTCTACGGGCAAAGACAACTTTATGGGTATTTCGTGCTCTACTAGTTGTGGCAATAGAATCTCGTTTTGGAATAACTGCTGAATTGGTCAGATACCTCTTTGCTGTTATTTTTGTAATGTTTTCCTTTCTTTTTTTGAGGAGATGGGTAATTCGGAGGAAGGGCAATGGTACTGAAATTTTACTAAGTTGCAACAAGATACAACTCCTGAAACGATGGAGGAATTTTTAGAGCGGAAGGTTTTGTTGGATGAAGTCCAGCCAGTGCAAGGTATTAGACAAATTTATTCGAAAAAATGGTTTATTTTATTCATCAACTGTTAAATCATGTTACCTAGCACTATCAACTGATTTAGTCTTGATTGAATTTTAGGTGTCAAGCTAAGAAATTTTTTTAACTTTTATAATTGACTTACGGCCCGAATTGACTTCTTAGTAAGGTAAGACAATTGGTAGGTGTTTTTGGTGGGTCAATTGTATTATTTGGGTGTACCTTAAATTCTGCTATATATATTATTATGGTGCTTATAAAAAAAAGTTGAAATTGTTCTACAAGTTTTTTTTTCCCTTCATACATCTAAGGTGAGAATCAAGAAAAAAAATCAATCCTACACAAAATTAGAACAAAAAATGCCAAGTCTACATTCATAACAAGTTTTCATCATCACCGCTACTAACTTACAATACAAAAATATTAATACTAACTTACATACAAAAATATTCATAATGATTAAGAGATAAACCACACTTGTTAAGTACTACATTGGGATCATCTGTTGAATCTGTTGCTGCTGCTGCAGATTTGGAATATTGCAGTTGAAGCGCGAACAAGACCGCACTTTGTTCTCCGATAAAGGCACAACAGGAATATTATCACAATTGCAGATTTCAATCATGGAGCCATCTGGATCATGGAAGAATAACTGGTCAACGTATATTCCATTTTCCTCAACTCTGTTCTTCACATACTCTATCTTCATCTCTTGTAGTTTTTTCTCCACTGCTCCCATACTCTCACACTATACCAACAATAATTCACAGACTAATAAATACACAATATATGAATAAACTATGCTTTTAACTTAACGTTGTAATTGTAATAGAGAAAGATATATACTTGGAAAGATATGTGGTTGTCCTTTGGATTTATGTGTGGATTCTTGGTCATGCCTTCTGGATCATCTGATTGGAGAAGGTGTATACCAATGCCATAATTAAACAACCTGATTAATCAAAACAAAATGCAATTAGTATAAATGAAATAATAATAACATTTAGAATAATGTTAATTAAATAATAAAATGATATATACGTACCATGCACCATTGAAGTTTAAGGAGGTAGGTCTCTTAATTGGAACGAAGCCAAGAACATTAACGTAAAAGTCAACTGATTTTTCTAGTGATTTACACACCAAGGAGATGTGGTTCAGTGATTTGAGCTGTAGAGGATTTCCCATTGAAATAATAAGACAGAACAACGTTGTAGATGAAGAAGAAAATATGAATGGATGTAATGTTGGTTTGTAGGAGTTTATGTGTATCAAGAGAGTAACTTGTATTATATTGGAATGGAATAATTAGGTTAAAGAGAATGGAATGAAATGTTTTATTTATAGGGAGATGTTTGGTAAGAATGTGTGAAAGTTTCTTTTGGCATGTTTGGGAAGTTTCACGTTTGTGTTTAGGATTTGGTTGTTGTTACACGTAGATGTCGTGTTGGTGAATCAGGACGCGACATGCAATGCTTATCTGGCTTCATGACACGTAAGTCTGTGGATGTCTGGTTTTAGTGATGAGGAAAAGGAGATGTCTGTTTTTGGTGACCGGTCAAAGTTAGAGATAAGGATGAATCCTGCAATTGACACGGAATCATGTGCAGGGAAAAGCTACCAATTGCGACTTTTCTTTTAGTTAGGTGTATTATATTACAACTACACGTTTATATCAAGAGAAAATAGAATAGGAAAAATAATTTTATATGGCTTAAGGGAGATTTTTAGTGGAGAGTATTGAATTTTGTGAGATTTTTTTTTAGAGTAATATTTTTGTGATAGATATATTATATAATTTATTTAAAAGGTGATAGGTGTGTGGGTTCTTCAACTTATAAATACTTAAGTCATCATATTTTTATTTAATGTGAGACTATTATCAACATATTATTCACACTTGTTATACTTAAATGTTTTAAATGAGATCTCGTTTATCGTTAGCACCTACAAAGTCGTATTTTATCTATAACAATATATAAAAGTAAAACACAATTTTGGTATAGTCTTTTTTACTTCCAAATTTGTCCTTAATAAATTAATTTTTTTACACTATTTTTTATTGTTAATAAATTAGTAAGTTGTTATTCATCAGTAACAAATAATTTATTAACTAAATTAATTAAATAAGAAATATTAATTAAAAAAATAGTAATAATGTCTAAAAATAATAAACTGTTTTATAATCCACTAATTTCATTATTGAATTAACTAAATTAATTAAATAAGAAATAATAATTAAAAAAAATAGTAATTCTAAAAATAATTACCTACTGTATAACTCACTATTTCCATTACTAAATGAACTAGAAGCATATAACAACTTCCATATTTAATTAAATTAATTAAATAAAAAATAATAATAAAAAAGTAGTAACAACTTCTAAAAATGATTAACTGCTTTATAACCCACTAATTCCATTACTGAATGAAATAGAAGCATATAAAAACTTCTGTACTCAACTAATATTACTATATTTTATTATATATTTAATTGTTTTAATTTTGAAGATTCATAATGTATTTTATTTATGACTAAATTTATCCAAAGCTTTTTCTTAATAAAACTGAATGATAATGATTATAAAGTCTATACTCTAAGTTTTGATAAATTACATACTTAAAATAATCACAATTATATATTATCTTTTAAATATTTAAATAATTACTGATCATTATCATCAATAATTTTTCTCATACAATTTAATAGATTGTACGGATAAGTGAATTATAATTTCCTAAAAAAAATCATTGGAGTTCTAAAAATACAGTTTTTAAAAATATGATCAAACAATATTTTATTTTCTTTTATAAATAAATTTTTTAAATAAATTTTAAAATAATTTTAAAATTTTGAAAAATCTCAATCAAATCTAAACCATCTATTACTTTAAATTCAATGATAGAGGATAAGCAGTTTTTTCATTTCTCATTCATAATGATCTATAAATACCCCTTTCATCTTCTACTTTTTCACATTCAAAATTCAAAAGAATAAACAGTTTCTCAAAATTTCTTACAAAAGTGGCAGGTCGTAGAAAGGGTATTGGGGCTCGGAAAGGGAGGAGCAAAGAGACACAGGATGATTATGCGCGACAACATTTGGGAAATTACAAAGCCAACGATTCGTAAATTGGCGAGGAAAGGAGGTGTGAAAAGGATAAGTGGTTTGATCTATGAAGAAACTAGGTTATTTCTCAAGGTTTTCTTGACAAAAATCATTCATGATGTTGCTTCATATACTGATCATGCAAGAAGGAAGGTTGTGACTGCCATGGATGTTGTGTATACTCTTAAGAGACAAGGAAGAACTTTATATGGTTTCGGAGGTTGAAGAAGATACTCTCTTTTATTTATTATTATGTTATCTTTTTATCGTCTAAGTTGTGTAATTTGTATTTCTGTTTCTGCATTTTAAAAAAAGTTTATATCTAAGTAATAGTCGGTGATTATACAATGATCACCGTCTAAGTTATGTAATTTGTATCGGTATTTTCAAAAATGTTTATTTTCAAGTATTAATTGGTGATTATACAATGATAATGACTAAATACTACAATATATTTTTTCTATTGTATGGTTTATGGACAAAATTACACTATATATGAATTATACTAAATTTATGATGATTTTAGTTAAGTTAAATCTAACTTTTATAATTATAGATAAACTGAATATGAGTCGTTGGTTATTTTTGTTCTTTAACCATCATTAACTTCTATTAAGAAAAACTTATGGAAACTTTAACACATATAAATCTTCTTTGCATGGTGATTTTTGAAGAGTGTTTGCTGGTGATCATACATAGAAAACAAATTAATTAATTTTTTTCATTATAGTTTGTTAAAATTGAATTTATACGGATGTATGTATTTTAATTGGTGACCGGTTTTGTTAGTTACATTTATAATTATTTTGGTGTATTATCCACAAGGTTTTGTCTTATTTAGAAGTCATGCTTAGAAAATATTATTGTTAGATTTCAAATTATTTTCCTTTCAAAGATGATTTATTACCATTCACATAGGGATTGTTATTCAACTGTTTTTGAATTAATTTATTGATGGAGGTATTATTATTATTAGAATTTAATTGGTATGCACTAAACAATGCAAACTTTTAAAAACCGCTCTATTATGCATGTTGTGCCACATATTGATTTTTTTAGGGATAATAAAGAGGATAACATAGTCAGGATGCCTGCTGAAATTGTCATATCATACATTTCGCCAATTAAAAAACCATGGATGAGATGCTTCATATATGGTGGAGAGAGTCATATACTTACTGCCAAAAATTGTGATGTACATATGTTGAATGACAAGATTATTAATAAATTCTCTGGAGATGAACATATTTTGTTATCTTTTGATGAGGTTGATGGTGATACTCATAATCTATATCAACAGAAATACTTACACACAATTGCTCCTGGTACTTTACCACCCCATATTTTAAAGATGAAAATAGGGGTTCCACTGATGTTGATGCGAAACATAGACCCTAAATTTGGGTTGTGTAATGGTACAAGATTGTTATGTCGTGGTTTTTATGAATTTTCTTGATGTTGAAATACTTACTGGCCACAACGTTCGAAAAAGAGCTTTATTGCCAAGAATTAAGCTCAAAACCACTGAAGGTGCGGGACTTTCTTTTGTGCTTATTAGAAAATAGTTTCCTGTTAAACTAAGTTTTGCAATCACTATAAACAAATCACAAGGACAAACAATTCCAAATGTTAGAATTTATCTTTCACGACATGTTTTCAGTCACGACAATTGTACGTTGCTTTGTCAAGAGTTGTTTCGCGTGCTGCCACAAGAGTGCTAATTAAAGACGGAAAAGTAGATGGGGAAGAAGGGGTGTTTACCAAAAATATAGTTTTTTAAAAAAAATTATTGTCACAAACTCAGGTATTTATCTATTATATTTAAACGTTCAACTATACTTTTGCAAAGTCACACTTGGTGTGCAGTCACTAGATTACACTATATTGTTGGCTACTAAAATTTACTTCATTTGTTTTGCAGTAAAACAAGAGATATTTTTTTATTTCGATGTTATGGTTGACCTTCCTATTTTTTTTCTTATTTTATTTAAATCTTCGTATGATTTTGTACAATCTATAACAATACATAAATACAAAATTTAATTTTGGTGTAATCTATTTTCTTTTTCCTTAATACCGTATTCGTAACCATCAAATTATTCGTCTCACATTATTGATTTGCTTGAAAAAAAACTGGTTAAATATAATCACGTCATTATGCGGTTTTCTCAATTCAAACAAAATTTAATACACGAATATTACATATTGCAAATAAAACTTAATATGTATCTGAATAAATACAATATATTTCGTCATATAAATATTTTATATTAAAATTAAACTTATAAAAAAGATGTTGTCAATATTTTCACGCGTTAGCGCGGTAAAAAAAAAACGGACAAACGGGCACGGAGTGCCCGTTTGGACGCTAGTATTTATAATGAGAACATATTTCTAATTGTCCGCTTTCGCATGTCCAATGTGTTACGATGTAAAATTCCTTTTGAAAAATAATTATTGGGAGGTAATTAAAACTTGTGTATTATTGGCAATTATTATTAGTGGACGGTTAAAATTCATTTAACTGTAATTAGGAAATGGTAAATTCACACGTTACCATTAGTTTAATTTTGTCTAAGTGTTATAAATACGCATTGTAATAAGTCAATTAAAAAATGGAATGTAACAGTGATTCATTCATTCTCTCTCTGCATGATTGTTTACCTGAAAATTTTGTTACTTTCATTCTCTCTCATTTCCAAGAACTGATAACAACAATAGTGAATCAATATAATAGTAATTTTTCATTCCAACAAATTGGCATCAGAGAAAGACGATCCACAACCACGCACGACGGCGAACATGGCAAAAACTTCAAAAATCAATGATCAAATTCATGCAAAACTTCCAATCTTTAACGACAACAATTATGAAAGATGGACATCGCAAATGAAGGTTGTCTTTAGGTATCAGGGTGTACTATATGTTATTCGCAGTGGAGTGACACCGCTTGACGCAGCACCAACGGAGGCAGCGAGGGAAACTGACTGTGAACAAATGAAGAAAAACGACAAGGCGATATACTTCCTCCATTAATGTGTAGATCTGAATGTCTTGGAAAAGATAATTGAATGTGAGA